CACAAGGAACCCAAGAAGGGCTCCCACAGGACATACATTAACATCCCACAGCATGCACCCTCATATCCAACCCCCTGATTCAATGCCAGGCAAGCACTCTAAGCTCCACCCCCAACCCTTGCTTTTACGTTAGCCAGTGTTTTACTTTATTTACAATTTGAGTAATTTCCTACGTATGAAAATTGAAAATCAGACTTCACATGAAACTCCAAACTATCAGTTTCCCTTTAGAAAGTTAAGAGATCGGAGTCAGGTGGTGGTGGTGCATACCTTTAATCCCGGCACTATGAAGGTAGGAGGTAGTGGCAAACTGATCTCTCTTGAGTTCGAGGCCAACCTGGTCTACAGAGTAAGTTCCACGATAGCCAAGGCTACACAGAGAAACCTTGTCTCGGGAAACAGAGAGAGAGAGAGAGAGAGAGAGAGAGAGAGAGAGAGAGAGAGAGAGAGAGATTGATTTGGAACACGGGGCCTTATTCTGTTTTTTTTTTTGTTTGTTTGTTTGTTTGTTTTGTTTTTTCCGAGACAGGGTTTCTCTGTGTAGCTTTGAAGCCTGTCCTAGAACTCGCTCTGTAGACCAGGCTGGCCTCGAACTCACAGAGATCTGCCACCACCTCCCATCTCCTCATTCTGTTTCCAATTGGCATTATTCTCATGGAGCTGGGCCCACACCCCCACTTTCCTGTCCAGGCCATGATGCACTGCCCTCGGAACGTAATTCACCAAACGCTGCTCCCCACAGTCGCTGAGGGTCAGGCTGCTGGTGGTGGTGAAGGGGCGATCAGAGGGTAGCTCTAAGCGGTTGGTATTTGGGATACATTTCCTAGAATCTGGAAGAGAAGCACTTTCTTCGTCTACAACTGGAGAACATCGTGGAGGATCTGTGGAGGAGGTTCCAGGACGCACTCAAGAACTACACGGAAGCCACGGAGGACCGGAAGATCGCCTTTGAGACTCTGAAGGTGAAGGACGAGAAGAGCTCTAAAGAGATCGAGATGCAGATGAAGAAGATCCAGAAGCTGCAGGTCAGCGCGCGACAGGAGAGCCTCTCCGGGGTCCCCCGTGCTCTTTTGGGTCCCTCGCTGGCTGGGTCAAGACGCCAGGCTCTGCTCTCAGCCCCCAGTCTACCCACGGTCAGTGGCCCCTGCTGTCTGTCCCTCCAGGAGGCCATCGCCGCCTTGAAAGGGAAGATCACAGCCTACAGCCGCGAAGGCGAATGGCAGAACCAGTGTATCCGCAACGACAAGGAGCTGGTCCACGTCCAGCTTCGGAAACTGAAGGCCCAGCGGACGCAGGCTCGGGGGAAGTCTCAGGAGAACTTAGTCAAACTCACCCTGGAGAGTAATGCCGCCCTCAAGGGCCTGAAAAAGGTCGTGGAAAAGGTAAAGGGGACGAACCAAGAAACCTGGCTGGAGGCGAAAGGGATTCGGGAGCCGTGGGGCGGGGCTCCCTCCTCCTCCCTCGTTAAGCGGCGGATGTCTGTGTTCGCTTTTCTTTTAATGCTCTTCTCTTTCTGAAACGAACAGGGATTCCTCAGCTTCCTGAGTCCTCATTTTGCTTCGCAGAGGGTCTTTTTCTCTGTGTGTCTGATGCATGAGTGTTTCCTCACCCCCTCACACCCCCCCCCCCCCAATAAACGCGGGCTTCCAACGGGTGATTCTGCCCTGCAGCCCGGACGCTTAAGATCTCTCTGCTGCTACCTGCTCCGCTTCAGATTTTTTTCCCCGCCTTTAATTCTTTAACTGGCAGAGGAAATCAAGACCCCTGGACTGTATCATTTCTAGACTACATCATTTTGGGGGGCTTGTCTCTGGATTTCTTCTGAAGACAATATCATTTTGGGATCTAATCTACAGATTTCTTTCTTTTTCTTTTTTTTTTGGTTTTTCGAGACAGGGTTTCTCTGTGTAGCTTTGTGCCTTTCCTGGGACTCACTTGGTAGCCCAGGCTGGCCTCGAACTCACAGAGATCTGCCTGGCTCTACCTCCCGAGTGCTGGGATTCAAGGCGTGTGCCACCACCGCCTGGCCAGATTTCTTTTGAGACTACCGACTCATCAAGATGTCACTTGTCAGTCGTATGACAAGCCCCAAAGATAGACACTGTCACCAAATGGCTGTCTTATGCTCTGGATCATTACCATTGGTTAAGTTCTACTGTGGCCCCTTGGACAGAGCCTCCTCTTAGGCTGACCCCCAATATCAACCTTTGGTCAGCTCGAAGCAGCTAAGAGCAGTGGTCATCACCCCCAAACACCCTAAGAGCAGTTAGGGTGACCTCTGAGATGGGAGCCAGAGGGTGACGAGAGACCAAGAGTTGGACAGACTTCCCGGTAGGCAGACCGGTAGGGAGAGGAGGAGCCGCCACAGATAGGTAATAACGGTGGTGAACTTTCAAGATGGTCACTTCTTCCTCAACCTCCAGACTCGAGAGGAAAGCCTGGCAGCTTTTGTGTCCCACCAGCAGGGCCCCTGCTCAGGACATGTCACACGCAGTTGCAGACCAATTAACCCTCCTGTCTGCTTCCAGCTGACCAGCTCTAAAGCAGGGAAGGAAGACTCCTGAGAGCTTTATCACCAGGCCTCCAGAAGGGACAGGACTTCCCGGCTTCCCCGTCCCCACTCCGTGTGTCTGCTGCATGTGTTTCCTCGTCCCCAGTAAATGCCTTTCTTTTTTCTAGTTTCTCGAGACAGGGTTTCTCTGTGTAGTTTTGGTGCCTGTTCTGGATCTCTCTCTCTGTAGACCAGGCTGGCCTCGAACTCACAGAGATCCGCCTACCTCTGCCTCCTGAGTGCTGGGATTAAAGGTGTGCGCCACCACCACCCCACCACCCCACCACCCTACCCCACCCCGGCTCGCAAATGCCTTTCTTAACTGAAAAGAACAAGAAGTAATGGCTGCATTTGTGGTAAGAATGTGAAATGCTGGGCTAGTGCTTGGCCCGTGCCAGGTGCTGCATCAACCGGTCCTACTGACCGAGCTGCTTTCCTGGGCTCAAGCAGGGGGACTATCTTGTCTTTCCTAAGACATCTCTCCATACTCCCAACAGGGTGAAAAGATCCTTAAGCTTGCTGAAATATGTAGGAAATTCGAAACAGAGGAAGAAAAGGTGCTGCCTTTCTATTCCTCGGTGTTGACTCCCCAGGAGCAGGAGGAGGTGGAGAAAGAGAATCCAGAAGAGCTCACTGAGGAGCTTGCCAAGGTAGAGGAAGGGGCAGGCGGGGGCTGGGCGGCACCTGCCGAAGCGGACCGTCACATCTCTCCGTCCTCCGTCTCCTCTCTCAGGTTATGGTGGACTATTCGGGGATGGAGAACTTCTGGAAGAGATACAACAAGGTGAAACTGGAGGTCCTGAGTCTGGAGCACAGACGGGGGCAGTTGCTGGACATCAGCGGGAAGCTGAGAGAGATGCTCAAACAGTACCTGGACGGCATCTCCGTGAGCGACGAGGTGCTGAGCCAGCTGAACCCGCTCTTTATCGTGAACCACAGAAGCAACCTGCCCCAGCCGCCTGCACCTGCCCCGTCAGGGGACGGGAAGCCTCCCGCCACTTACAACATCATCGAAGCGGCTCACATCATCTCCCACACTCTGTGATCCGAGAAGGGGCCTCTTCCCAAAGCTCGGAGACTTTTTTCTTGAAGCCTGAGTGCTTTGCTGTTACAGACGTAGACGGAGGATCCAGACAGTACTCTAGCTATTGACAACCACTGCCCTCTGCAGTAGAACCAATAAATCATTCTTTTTTAAATAATACAGCTTTCTTCATGATTTATTTTTATTTTTGTGTGCACTGGTCTTTTGCCTGCGTGTGTATCTGTGTGAAGGGTGCCAGGCCTCCTGGAACTGGAGTTACAGAGAGTTGTGAGCTGCCATGTGGGTGCTGGGAATTGAACCTGGGTCCTCTGGAAGAGCAGCCAGCGTTCTTAACCACTGAGCCATCTCTCCAGCTCCAATAAATTATTCTTAAAAAGTTATGTTTCTTAAACAACAACAACAAAACAAAAAACAAAAAAATGGGTTTCATGTAGTCCTCAAACTCCCTGTGTAGCTGAGGTTGACCCTGAACCTCTGATGTTCCTGCCTCCTCTGGGATTACAGCTGAGTACCACAACATCAGTTTTGTTGGTGCTGTGGACTGATCTCAGGGTTTTTTTTTTTTTGCATTCTAGACAAGCATTCTACCAACTGAGCCTTATTCTCAGCCCTTGTAAGAGCTTTATTTTCTTTGCCATCTTCAAGGATACAAGGAACATTCTGGTCCAGGGAGAGAATGCCTAGGCACCTACTAGAAGGTGAATTATGTTTCCTCCTCAGCATCACCGCACCAAGGGAGCCAAAGATACCCCAAAGACCCAAGGCAGGTTCAAGACCAGTTTCCGGGGATAAATTAGGACTGCGAGAGCAGGCCAAGGGAAGATGTATGCTCCAAGGCCTCCAGCCCCTCAGCCACAGGCACGATCCAGCTTCACAGTGCTGTTTTCTACCCAAGAACAGCAGCCTGAAAGCATCGGGTGTGCAGGTGTGTTGGTTCACATCCGTATTTGTGGCCCAGCCAAGAGGCTCACGGGTCTGAGGCCAGCTTGGGCTACAAATGCAAGACCGACCCCGTGTTCGAAGAAAAGGGGAACCAGAGAGATGGCTCAGAAGGTAGAGCACTTGTTTCTGAAGTTGGGGAGCTCAGTTCAATCTCTGGAAGCCGCCTTCAGGTGGAGGGAGAGGGCCAGCTTCACAGTGTCCTCCCGATTCCACATTCAGACCAGTGCGCACACACAATAAGTAAACAACAACAAACCACTAAAAGAAAACGGGGGCCGTGGTATCAAGCGAAGAATACAAAGTTTTCTTAACGATCACTGTTTATTTCTTTTTACTCTTGTTCCGCTTCTCCTCTTTCAGCTTCTTTTTGGAGACCTTGGGTCTGCTGGCCTTTCTGTATAAGTGATACCCAATCAGGCCCAGGAGTGCTGGCACCATAGCCATGCCCACCAGGGGCAAAATGCCCTTCAGCAGCTTTTGCCAGTAGTTGGCTCGAATCAATGCAATCAGCTCCACATCATACTGCACCACGGCATCGGCTAGAAAGGCAGAGGGGAGGGGTGGGGGTCAGAAGCTGCACCCCTGCACCCGCTGGAGAGGCTCTGGGGGAGGGGTGGGGGTCAGAAGCTGCACCCCTGCACCCCCTGGAGAGGCTCTGGGGTAGGCAGGGTAGAACTGCTGTGATTTATCCAGAGCTTTGAATGGGGAATAAACCCAGGTAGTCCACAGAAAATAACTGTGATTCTGGCCATTTGAACTGTGGGGTAGGGCTCCCTGGGGAAAGGCGGAGGAGGGTTAGGAGCAGGCTAAGGACACGTGTGTCCATCTTAACTATAACTAAACACGTGGCTTGGAATGAAGGACAGATCTTTGACAGCACAGGAAATCTGTGGATGGGAAACATGCAGGCTCTTCCATATTTACAAGTGAGCATTTATTTAAAGATTTGTTTATTTTTATTTTAAGTGTTTTGCCTGATGCACCAAGTGCATGCTTGGTGTCCTTGGAGTAAGGAGAGGGTGTCAGATTCCCCTAGGAACTGGAGTTACAAATGGTGGTGAGTCACCACGTGGGTGCTGGGAACTGATCCTGGGTCCTCAAGAGCAGCCAGTGCTCTTAACCACTGAGCCATCTGTCTGGCCCCACAAGTGAGCATTTATTTGTGTGAGAATCCTCTGTACCAAACGGACCCCATTCTAAACAGCCACAGGGATAGGATTTTGTAGGGCTATATTAACTGAAATAAAAGCAGATATCCTTCAAAAGTCCACCCACCGATGAGCACATACAACACAGCTGTGAGAGGATTTTCAGGAAAGGGCTGGGAAACGAGAGACGCCTGAAGGAAGTGATGGGCAGGGTCAAATAGCTTCAAATGCAAGCCAATGAGGAGCACTGGGGATGGGCAGAGACAGGGCCTCACTGTGTAGACCAGGCTGGCCTCGAACTCACTCTGTAGACCAGGCTGGCCTCGAACTCACAGAGATCCACCTGCCTCTGCCTCCCGAGTGCACCACCACGCCCACTTGATGAGAGAGGTTTTGCTGGGCCCTCCCCACCCTCTTCTTAGGGCTCCCTACAGTGTATCATGTTGCCAGAACTCTGTGGAGTAGATCACATTTTACCCAATAGCAAAGAGATGCCCATCTTGGGGAATCTGTCCAGTCTCTGTCCTTCAGAATAGGCATCAGCAGTAGCGTGTGAAGGTGAACCCTAGGAACCGGTCATGGGGTTCCCTCCTTACCAGCTCCATGTGAGGGCTCTTGCAGTTGCCTTTTGGTTTGTTCTGAGTTATATTAGTGCTCTGAGATAAGGAGTGTAGCCAGCCAGACCCACGCAGCTTGAGCAGGTGTCAAAAGTCACCAGCTGCTCACGCCGAGCCAGGTGGCCCTAACAGGTTGTCTGCAGTCTCCACTGGAGAAAAAGGGTGGGCCAGAAGGAGGGGTCCAGCTACTCCTTTCCTCAGATTTGATCTGGACTTTCTCAAGTTCTAGACAGGGCAGAGTGTGTGGCTCTGCTTTGGTGGGTGGGAGAATAGACCTAGTCAGTTACCTGGGATAGATGGCGGGTACCCTCGCTTTCCATAGGCCAGGTGAGAAGGAATGACTGCTCTTCGCTTCTCTCTGAGGGAAAGGAATGAGTCCCAGGAGGTAGAGAGGTGAGCTAGCAGCCGGGGCCCAGCGCCACCAGAAGCACCTCCCACCTCAGTGACACCAAACGTGAATTTCTCCCCACCTAACAGGTTGACCAGCCAAGGTACCAATAACCCTACACACCTCAACTCCCCCCAAAAAACCGACAGCCAGAGAGGTGTCCTCTGCTTTGGATGCCCTCACCTTTCCAGTATGAAGGCAGGGGCCCTTTATCCTTCAGGGTCCTGCCTACTGGAGATGCGGAGTGGCAGAGAAAACAGCCACCCAGGCAAAGGGGAGGTCAGGGCCGCCCCTGTCCAGATACTCACCCCACACACATGTCCAGAAGGCTCTGCTCCAGACCTTGAGGAAGAAGACAGAACTGAGCTACACACCGCCCAGGAGGGAAATCAAAGGCTCCCCATCGACCTTGGCAAGTGAGCTTTGCTCCGCTTCTCAAACTCGGCCCCCAGCGATGTGTGGGACAAGAAAAGAATTAGAACCCGAGGTAGCCAAAGATCCTTAGGGTCTTACTCCTTCTAGAAGCCTTTCCAGCATAACTTAGACGGCCAAGACACTAAGCCAGGGCTTAGGTTAGGGAGAGGATAAAAGGCACAGGTCACATACCTGGAATCACCTGCTTTTGGCCAAGTTCTATAACCAGAGGATCTCTGGTCAGAGAGGTGTCAATAATGCGTCCATCTACCAAGCTGCCCTGAAGACAAAGAGGAAGAACTAACTAACGCCACCTTTCCTCCCACCAGACGGGACACACACACACACACACACACACACACACACACACACACACACACACACACACGCACTGGGACCGCCCAGAGGGATGGCAGCAACCCTCGGCACAGCCTTGCACCGTCCCCGTCTCCCACCCCCACCCCCGTGGGGCAAAAAGGAACAGGAAGCCCCAAAGGGCTGACGCTTCTTGGAGATCTCTCCACCCTTCATTTCTCAGTGCCGGAGAGAGAAACTGGCGGGAAAACAGGGCGGAGGAAGGAGCAGACGAGAGACTGCCCCCACTCCCGTCCCCACGTGCTAGCCGACCCTAGCTAGGGAGTCAGTGCTCTCGCACAGCTTGCCACGTGTCCAAGCCAAAGCTGACGTGTTTCGTTCGGGCACCGCCCCCTCCCAGACCACGCCCCGGCCCCCCCAGGCCCCCTCACCGTGTAGTGTATGTGCAGCGTGTCTCCCAAGGCAGCGGATTCCGTACACGACTCAGGGGGCTGTACCTATGAGCAGACTCCAAGGGTCAAGGCTGCTCCTCCTAAGACCCTGTTGCTACATCGAGACCCAGCACCTTCTCCCCCAACTCAGTGCCAGCTCTTCCTCTCCTGTGCGTTCGCAGGTTCCTTCGGGCCCCAAGCTCCCCCCACGATCCCGGGCCTTAAAGGGTGGCGGCGGCGGCGTGGGGGAGGGGGAGGTGGCGCGACAGTGTCCTCACCAGGGTCTCCACTTGGAGGGTCCGGACGGGACTTTCGGTTTCTGGCCCAGCCTCAGCCCGGCACACCGCCCCACTGAGCAGCGGCAGCAGCAGCAGCAGTCGGAGCAGCCAGAGCAAGGGGCGCAGGGACATGACCGGACGAGGTCGGAGCACCGGGGCACCAAGGCAGGCAGGCTGTTCGGATGCAGGCGACCGGGACGCGTTGCCTCAGCTCCAGGCCAGACTGGTGTGGGCGGGTCGCAAGGAGCGAGCTCCTCCTCCTGCGGCCCGCCCTCCACCTTGTCCCCACCTCCTGGAGGGAAGAACCCGCAGCATTCATTCCCTACCCTGTGATCCCAGGTCGCGGATTCTGACCCATCCGTTAGCCGTTCGGTCCCATGACGAGGGTTGGGCCATGTGACAGCACCTATTTGCCATTACCCACTGTAATGGGGGCGTTAGTCTCTAACCTTCGAATCACGGGAGGCACAACTGTTGCCATTTTACAGCTAAGGCACTCGCCTAGGGTCATCATGCTAACTGGTGAGAGACAGGATTCAAGCACAAAAATGCATTTGTCCTCTCTTCTTCTTCTTCTTCTTCTTCTTCTTCTTCTTCTTCTTCTTCTTCTTCTTCTTCTTCTTCTTCTTCTTCTTCTTCTTC